TTGTAATTATTTGGTGAGTGGAATATGATATTTTTGTCTAATTTAATTATGATGTTGTCGCTCAGATGACTTATTTCGTATGACAAATTTAGCACGTCTTGCCGCTCTCGCTGCACTTTCTCTAGCAAATATGAACTTGTTGTTTCCATTAACATCCTGGGTCTCTGTGACATCGACGCAACGGACTCTGTCATTGCGGATGACAAACCGAAAGGGATTGTCCAGAATACCGTGTTTCTTTAAATCGTTATTTGCTTCATATCTTTCTTTTAGTAAAGCCGCAAATTCAGTTTGCTCAGCTGGCGTGCGGTCCGGTCTAATGTAAATACTATTAAACTCTTGCTTACCATATAATTTTCTTGAAGATACTAACATTTCATTTCTTATATCAATTGTGTCAAACTCAACAATTACTAGAGAAGGTGATTGTGTAATTGAAGTAGAGTTGTTTGCTCTAAACATACGACGAACCAATTTTATGCTAGCGTATGGGTTATCAATTGCGACAGAAATATATTTTACAATTTTTGTATCGTCGGCTATTTTATCAGCTGAACTTGGTCCATTGGAGATCGGTAACCCTGCAATAACTAAATTTTTTGCTTTATTCTCACGTAGCTTATTGTTGTTGGTGATTGCTTGAACTAAGGCCGTATTCGAGGTACTACCTGGTTTTAACCATTTAGCAAACATCGTTTTGAACCATACATTTTCAGTAGGAGCGGCATTAGAGTTATTTGTTGTCTCTGGAGTTTTTTTCGTTTATAATTCCAGTACCAATATTCTTCCCTCGAGTTTTGTTATCTTTTCATCTTTTGCTAGATTCTCCTTTTTTATTTCGTTAATTTCCTTCTTAAAATCTAAAACTACTGTCTTCAACTCCTTCAGCCACACGTCTAGGTTTACACAGGTGTTATGAGCACCATTCCTATCTGCATCGCTTGATGGTTTCGACATTATCAATCAATATTTTATTTGATATATATCTCAAATCGAAATACTTTGTTCTTCTATCTGGATAGGAAAGCTACCACCCTAAATAAGAGTGGATTACCTCCTGTCTGAAACTTTTATGATATTTACTTTTTGCACTTATTACACAGGGACTAAAAAGTTTAAGCATGTCTTTTTTTCCGTATATATATATATATATATATATATATATATATATATATATATATATATATATATATATATATATACATACATATATATATATATATATATATATATATATATATATATATATATATATATATATATATATATAGATATATATATATATATATATATATATATATATATATATATATATATATGTATATATATATATATATATATATATATATATATATATATATATATATACATATATATATAAAACGAAAACATTGTTTATTATGTTAGGAATGATTTAAGTGTATCTGATGGCGATAAAGAAATTTTAAACTATTGAAATTATAAACAATAAATCAAAAAACATATTGTTAAGCTGTTGTTACCGACCACCTGACGGCGTGAGTGAGAACTTGAGCATTTTTTTTGAACAAAGTATTTTTAAAAAAGGTATTAAAGAAAAAAAAAAATTTTATTATTGGGGACCTTAATATGAATTGTTTTCTATACAGTAAAGATAATAAAGTCAAAAACTTTTACGATTCTTTTTTCGAAACTGGAGCAATCCCGTTGATTAATCGTCCAACAAGAGTAACAAAAAACTCAGCGTCTTTGATTGATAATATAATTACAACAGATATATCCGATAATGATATCCAAACCGGTATCCAAAAATCGGATATATCTGACCATTTTCCATTATTTTTGTTGCTTAAATCAAACTCTGAAAAAATAATCAAATCAAATAAAATTAAAATACGCACTTTTAACGAAACTAATATAAAACAATTTAAAAGCCAATTATCACTCCTACACTGAAAGCATATTAACTTTAATGATAATGCAGACAAAATTTACAATAAATTTTTTGAAACATTTTATTTCGTGTATGACGCTAATTTCCCTATCATTGTAAAAACTCTAAATCCAAAACATATAAACAACCCATGGGTGACCAGGGGATTTAAAAAATCATCAAAAATAAAACAGAAGCTTTATATAAAATATCTTAAAACAAAATCATCTGCAAATGAAAAAATATATAAAGAATGCAAATACCTATTTGAAAAAGTTCGTAAAAACTTGAAAAAAAATTACTACTCAAGACTCATAGATAAATTTAAAAATAACTCAAAACGCACTTGGCAAATAATGAATGAAACTAGTGGTAGACAAAAAAAATGCTCAGGTTCCCTCCCCCAAACGATTGTAGTTGATAACAAACATATATGCGAATCAAGAGCTATAGCTCATGAATTTAATAAGTTCTTTGTTGACATCGGTCCCAAACTAGCAAAAAAAAATCCTTATACAAATGCTACATTTAGAGATTTTTTAGTCCAAATGGATAACTGCACTAGTTCCAACGAATTATCTTCTGAAC